ACATCACAATGTAGCGCCAAATATCGCGTGCAAAACAAGACGCAATAATATATTACTGTGCGCTGTACAATTGCAGTTGCGTAGCAAGCAGTGGGGTTTGTAATCATTTTTTTTTTTGATAATGAAATTAAATAAAAAGATTATTCTTTCGTCTTTCGTGAAATATGGTATATATTTTCACTCAACATGTTAAAATGCCACATATTTTCACTTGCCGTCCCTTTCACTCGCCGTCCCGGCTCGTGAAAATATGTGGCATTTTATCATGTTTCGTGAAAATATATTCCATATTACACTCAAACGAAAAAATATCCTCTTAGTATTAAACTTACACTCATTTAATATCCTCTATTTAATAAAAATGATATTACGCTAGTGTTATAAAAACTTTGATGTGTCATCATTTGCATTATAAACAAGCAATTATCATAGTATTGCAAGCAATCCATAAGTCCCCTACTGGTAAGAACCCCAGCAACATTCTGAAGGACCATTGGCCATTCACTTATGTTTCAATTTTTCTCTTTTTTAAGAAAATTGTTGGAAAAGTTTTTAAAAGTGATCACAGGAAACAGTTTTTTATTAACAGACAGACTGAAGGACACTCTAAAGATAATTGTTTAAACATCACCTGTTACCAAAATATAACATTTTAAAAGCAAAATTTTTAAAGAGGAGATAACTCTTGAAATTAAGATCCAAAATGTCATACATGATATGAGTGTAACGGAGAACAATTAGTAATGAAGCTGTTCATAATGAACGTTTATTTTAAAATTGAAGTAAAAGAAAGTTCAAAGAATGAATAAGGAAAATTCAAAGTTTAAGGAGGAGATAATTCCGGAAATAAGGAATCTAGATTTATAAACCTTGTCATATTATTATGATGTTGAAGTTTGAAGTAAATCCTATAAGTAATGAAGAAGTTGGAGTAAAATATACCAATTTCTCGAAAAAATCTAAGTTCAAGGGGGACATAATTCTGGAAATAGTCTTGCTAGAGTATTGAACGTACTCACAAATGATTTGAGTGATAATTAAAAACATTTATTACCCTTCCAGATTTTTTCCGCCTTTTTGATTGGATATTGATCACCCGAAAGAAATTGATATAACCGAGCCAGACGGGTAATATACACACTAAATTTCCCCGTTGGGTACCCAACGTTCTAAACAACATGCGCTGAAGTGATGCGCGTACGGTTCGATTTTACGCGGTGTAAATTCCGATTTACAAGCACTTTTTAACTGTCAAATGATAAATATTTACCAACGTAGAGTAATGATACATATTACCATCAGTATCGAAAACAAATATGACCTTGTGAAAGCTTGATATTAATTACAAAAAAGTGCGTTCAATAGACTACTCCTTTTCTCTTGTTTACATTCGTTAGGTACGGGAAAAATACGTCATGTATTTATGTGACGTCATGTTGTGACGAAGAGGTACCCTAAAGGGAATCTTATTTCGACGTTTCATTTGAAACAGCAATGATTTTTTTAAAAATCGTCTAAACTCGGCAGGGGAAGGGTAATAAAATTATTATTTTGGTTTTGGAGTGATATATGTGGATATATTACCTGCCAAGATAAAATATCACCCTCGCCTAACGGCTCGGGTGATATAAAATCTTAGCAGGTAATATATCCACATATATCACTCCAAAACCAAAATATATAAAATCTTAGCAGGTAATATATCCACATATATCACTCCAAAACCAAAATAACATATAATATATGAAGTTTGAAGACGATACATTAAGAAATAAAGAAGTTATTTAAAAAAAAAACACATTTTTTTGTCATGTAAGTTCAAGGGAGGCAATTCTGATAATTTTTGTGCTAGAGTTAAAACCTTGTCACATATGATACGGTTAATGACCAGAAACTTATGTTTGAAGTTTGAAATAAATACCTTAAGAAATAAAGAACTTGCAGTGAAAAAGCCTAAAAACTAGAATCAGAAATCTTGACCAGGTTGCTAATGTTTGTTAAGTATGACAGCTCTCAATATACTCCCTTTAGTCAAGATTAAACTGATGTGTATAATTTCCATACTACCATCTATCCATATTATAAGTTTCATTAAATTTTTCAGCTTTTTTGACTAATCACAAATATTGTTATATTTGCCATGTTTTAAGCTTATTTGTTGCCATGGCAACCAATTTTTATCAAAATAGGTGAACAGAAAAAGACATGCATAATCTCCATACTGCCATCTACCCATATTTTAAGTTTCATAAAAATATTTTCAGTACTTTTTGCATTATCACTAGATCCAGTTTATGTGTTAAATTTGCCATATTTTCAGTCTATTTGTTGCCATAGCAACCAGAATTTTCAACATAGGAAGAAAAGAAAAAGACGTGCATAATTTCCATACTGCCATCTATCCATATTTCAAGTTTCATAAAAATGTTTTCAGTACTTTTTGCGTTATCACGGGATCCAGTTTTGCGGACAGACGGACTGACGGACGTACTGACAGACGGAAGTTCTAACAGGAGAGTAATAATGTGGCTACTGTATTGTTCTCTCTATTGTTCTTTTTAGCCACACAAAAGAAAATAGCCACATAAAAGGTAAACCTTAAGTCCCCTCCGGTAAACCGGTAGGGGACTAATAAACATAGCATTAAAATGCATGCTTAAATGCTAGCGTCAATGAAAAATGACTGTTTAACTGTAAACCCTTCTTATTTTGAATAATGTATTAAATAGAATATCATATTCATGTAGATTCAAGACTAGATTTATTGAACTTGAATAAAACAATATTATCACATAAACAGCGGCGCAGGAGTATAATAAAGCCATTTAATAATCAAAGTGCTGAAAGCACTGATGGGGGCGCAATATGTTGCATACAAAAATTCGAGATTTGTATAGCAATCTACTTTAGGTGTTCCAAGCTGATATCATTCTTCTTTCAAAGTAGAATAAGTGCCCATTTTGTACACATTATAATAGTATCGCCTCAAAACTCTTGTCAAAATTGAAAATCATGTACCAGGAACATACTAACAAACCCAGGCAAAATGCATAATTGATATCATATATATCATGAATAAACATTTTAAATTATGACATTGGATTTTGTTGGGAAACCATAGTTGTTTAACCAATTTTCATGTAAAGTACTTCCTTATGTGAGTGTATAACACATAAATCAGTGTACTTACTATATTTATTCCAAGAAACGATTATGCAGATAGAAAATAAACAGAAAATTTAACTGTCTGTAAAATATTTCTAAAATAAAACCAGGACTGTAAGAACAAACTTATTTTTTGTAGAAACCTTTCAAGCACAATAGATATCATAATACATGTGAGAATGTAAATTGGAATGGATACATATAATGTAGTTGGCATTGAAAACAAGAGCCACTATCTAGCTTGGGCCATGCTCGGCTTTTTCTTATATTGGAAGTCAAACACATCAGTAGGAGAATATTGTAATATCTATTAGAATACTCCTAGAAAACATAATATAAATGTATAAAGTAAATTTCAAATTTGAATTTGACTGTCAACACATTTAAGTTAAGGTCATAGTTGAATGATATTGTTCTTTTGTCCAAGAATGAATCAAATCATAGACAAAAACAAAGTTATGACAATGTGAGCGAATTTCAATTGTTTAACCTTGGAGGTAATGGTCATTTAAAGGTCAAAGTTATATCAGAAAAATTCAACATGTTGGTTTTGTGTATGTTTGTCCAAGCATGAATCAAATCTGTAAATAATAACAAAGTAATGACAATTCCAGCTAACTCCAAAGATATTTTATATCAAATAAAGGTCAAGGTCATATATGAACTTGAAGGGCTTTTGTCACAAAAACATGTCTCCCAAAACTGTGTATGGTTCTGATCACGCCTTTGAATTTTGGCAGTTTTACATGTGATAGATTTTTTTTTTTTAACTCTGGGGGGCCATTTTGTGCAAAGAAACAGAACATGCCGACAATGTGCACAACTAAGGATGGCACTGTACACTCCTGTTAAGTTTCATTGAAATCTAACCAGCAGTTTAAACATTACTTTTGTACTTTTATATAAGTTAAAGATAGAAAACATTTTATTACATGCTTTTCGGTGGTTTATAGAAATATATCAGTGATATAAAACTGGTAATTTCACTGTTTGAAACATTGAAAATTACCACTTTGATAATTTCACTGTTTTGAATTTAAGCCCCTTACCTTGTTTCAGTGAAATACAAGCGTGCACAGTACTGGGTACCAACTTAATGACGTGACGTCGTAAATGACGTCACGTTGTATTATTATTTGGCGCGCTTTTCATTCAGTATTAGGTTTAATGTCTTTTTAAAACGTTTCTTTGCATATAATAAAAAGAAAATTTGTTTAGTTTTGTGTAAGATCGAAATATATTTCACCTTGTGAACACCAAAAAATATGATAAACAAGATCAACAAGGAAAGGCGGCGTTCAATGAACGCAACCCCCATATGACCCAGCAACAAGAACCAATGGCAAGGAGCCCAGGCGGACCCCAAACATAAAAAGGACAGGGCAACGACACGTTAATCATTAAATGATAAATAATTTGTAACTGATTAGGAATTCTAGTTTGTACAGAAAACATCAAGGTGCATGTTTCTTTTATTAAGAATAGACTTATTGATTAGATAACTTACAATATTTACAAACATTTATAATGCCACACCCATTTAAAGTATTTCAGCTAGAGTAGAGTGCGCCACTCGTGAAATATACCTTTTGGTGCTCACTCGATGAAATATATTCCGATCTTACACTGAACTAAACAAATATCCTCTATATCAATTTTAATCCTATACTTATTATAGGTATTTATTGGATTCATTATTCAAAATTACATGAAAGAGCATGGAACAAAATATTTTCAAGATCTAGTAATATCTAAATGTTTTTAAAATCTAGTAGAATCAAAACTATACAAAAAATATATACATGTTTTTTGGATAATACACTCTAAGCTGAAATACTTTAAATGGGTGTGGCATTATAAATGTTTGTAAATATTGTAAGTTATCTAATCAATAAGTCTATTCTTAATAAAAGAAACATGCACCTTGATGTTTTCTGTACAAACTAGAACTGCATGGCGTGAATATCCCTGCATACCAATTTGTCAGAATCAACAGTAGTCATTTACAGCTCAAAGACAACCTCCCAGCCAAATCCGAGGGAAGTAAGCCAGTGCATTGTTAATTTATGTATTTTACATGTTTTAGTGGAAAAGATCAAAGTGAACTTTACCTTTGACCTACTGACTTCAAAACTGAAACTGCCATTGAATGACTTCAATAACTCCCCCCCCCACCCATTTCCACGCAGCCTTGCCTGGAGGTGTTTTATGATGAATATATGAGACCATTTGAGCAGACAAGCTAATTGTAATAAAGCCCCTGTGACCTTGACCTTTGTCCCAATGACCTCAAAATCAATAGGGGTCATCTACTAACCTTGACTAACCTCCATGCCAAATATGAAGACTGTGGGTTGAAGGATTCTTAAGTTATTGGGCAGAAAAGCTTTCTTCAGTCAAGGCCCTTGTTACCTTTGACCTGGTGTTCTCAAAATCAATAGAAGTCATCTACTAATCATGACTTACCTCCATGCCAAATATGAAGACTGTGGGCCAAAGGAATCTTAAGTTATTGGACGGACAAGAAAAAACTGACGGACTCCCGACGGCCGGACAAGCTGATTCCAGTATACCCCCCTTACAACTTTGTTGTGCTGGGGTATAACAGATTTCAAACATTGATAAGTTAGCTCATCTTCTTGGTGATGAACTGGCGCCTCTATATACAAATGTGGTTCTGTTCATACATAGGTTATCTCATGTTCTTCGTGATAAACTTTCACCTTGAAGTTGATAAAGTTCTGTTCATACATATTTCAAAAATAGATAAGTGATCTTATTTTCCTGGTGAAAAACTGGTCGCTCATTAAAGTTCTATACATATTATGATATTTCAAATATTGGAAAGTTAGCTCATGTTCTTGGTGAAAGACTGGTGACTAGTTTTCTCCTCAATGTCATTTCTTTTTCTAATTAGATTAAGTCAAGTTACTATATTCATGAGGCTTTCGACATCACATCAAAGAACTCATTATCCAACATTGCAAAGGGCAAGCAGTCTCCTGGTATTCCAATTTCTTTTAAGTTTTGAAAAAACCCAAATACTTCAATTTCTCTAGTGTTTCCGACATGAAGACACATCTACATGTATCTGTCCTTGTCACTCCTGCTTTTACTGTTTTATCATACAAACGCCTCTGTTTCCTGAAATATTTGTTTAGAAAAAGTTAATTGCAAAATTAAAATTCCATTATTTTTGTTTGTTTTTTTCGGTGAGGGGGGGATTTAAAGCACAATTTCCAGCTTTACTGGTTGAGGAAGACCTTGGTGCACATATGTGTATGATTTCAGGCACCTGGGTACCATCAATGTTCCATAAATGAGCTGGATAGCTTTCTCATATGAAATAATCTGTAAACCCTTGCAGAGCTCGAACCTACAGCAGTGAAAGGCTTAAAGGTTTAAAGTCAAGAAACAAAATCAATCCGCCACAGACACCCCAAGTATTTTATCTATTTGCTAAGCAGCAATTTTTTCAAAATTATTTGAATTTATAAATGTGAGTGATTCTGATAAGCTATAGACAGCTAAGTGAAGATAAGATAATCATATATGTCAGATATGTCGGAGTGCTTACTGTGAATATTCAATATTTTAATGTGAATTCTCCTGAGGTGAAAAGGAAAGGAAAGCTGAATTCCTAAATACATGTTACATGTCACAATTGTTCTTGCTATTAATTTTGTTCCTAATTTCTAGTATAAGATGATATTTAAATACACTGTAATTCTTTTTTTATAAATTTGGCTTTTTGTGACAATAGTCTATCCAGTGACAGAAGCACACTGACTTCAAATAAACTGTCCTGGGTCAGCCTTTAAACAAGTCAAGAAAAAAAAGCTATTAGAATATAATAATTAAAAAATATCATATACAAACACTTCTAAATAATCATGTACCTCTTCCTTAAATGCCATGCTATTGAAAGAAACATTTTTCCATTTATTCACTTCAAGGTTAATCAGATTGACAGTCTCACATTTTAGCCTTCATCTCTCTTGATTTCATTCTCATTGACCCTACAGGGTTCGTACAGACATCCAATGCCAAAATTCAAGGACTTTTTAAGCACTATTTAAGCACGTATTCCCATTTTTCAAGCACATTTGTTGCACATATACCGACACAATCTTCAACCTATGATGGATAGTTTGTTCACCATTTTTGTTAAATACACATTTTCTAACATTATAGAAGAACAACTAAGGGTGCATCAAGTACAGATTAGTTCAAAACAACTGCAATTTGTCCACTTACTGTTACCTTGAGTAAACATTTCATTGATTTTGATACTAAATTGGCTCTTTTTTTATTTTGTTAACCGTTGATTTTTATCAAAACTATGTCATTCTGTGATTCAAACATTTTCAAGCAAATTTAAGCACTTTTTAAGCACTTTTCAAGAGAATAATCAAATTCAAGGACTTTTAAGCACTATTTTACATTTTAAGCACTTTTTAAGAAAGAGACTCAAATTTAAGCATTTTTAAGACTGTACGAACCCTGCCCTAAAGCATCCTTAAAATTGATATCCGCCGTTCACATTCACAAATCTGACATGTAGGCTGACCTTCTGAAACAGAAAGTTGGAAAGATAAAATATAATTATTATTAGATATACATATAGTATCCCAATAATTATGTTAATTGATATCAAATCAATAATTTAAGCAGTGTTCGAAATTAGCAGTAGTCCGAGGGCCCGACTACTAAATTTCTCCTCGGGCTACCAACTTTTCACAGTAACAAGCCCAACCAGGCTACTGTATTTTCAGAGGCAATATAAACAACTATTTTGAACAAATGAATCATGCTAGTGAAATGTCTTTTGGGCTAGTGAATATTCCAATCTGGTAGTCCGACCAGCCTAGTCGATTCAAATCCTAATTTCTTACACTGTTTAAGAAACAATTTGTTCAAAATTGTCCAAGCACAAAGATTTTTATAGTATACTATAGTAGTTATAGTGTATATACATTACAGTGTGTACTAAATGTCTTTACAATCTACTATACTGTCCTGAAATTTTAAGAAAACAACAATCTTTAAAATCCATTGTTGTAGAAGTTGCAAAATCAAGTAAATGAAATTGTTCTGGGTTTGTATTATTCTGCACAACTTCTGATCACAAAAGCTTCAAGGACATTTATGAGTGAATCAGGTCCTATCCTGAAAGATAGCAAAAATCAAGAAAATTAAGATATTTTACCTTGAATGTTAATATGGAGGTCAAGTTTAGTCTTGTCTATTTGAAGGGTTGTTGTGGCCAAGTATGAAGACAATACACCAAGATCTGAAAAAGTTATGAACAAGGTTAAAGTTTGTTGACAGCAACAGGAAAGCCGTCATGACTGTAACAATATATTTTGGCCCTAAATGCAAACTGAAAGTTCTAGCCTATACACACTGTTGAGGATAGCCGTTCAGCATTTTTTCAATAATAAATAAATGCAATGATAAAATCGGTAACTTGCAAGTCTTCTAACATTTTTACAAAGAATGAACATATATATTTTTTCCTAATAATTCTACGATGACATTCAGCCTTTTTTATTATAACAAGATATCGGAAAGATATATCAGAATTGAATTGGCCTGTGGACTTTAATGTCAATCATAGAGCTCTTATGCAAAATGTAATGGTAAGCAAACATCCAGCATGAAATTTTCAAGTAGCTAAAAGTTAAATAAAATTATTAAAAATACTTTGTCATAATTCAACTACTGTTGGAAATTGACCAACATGTTTGATTACAAATGTATTGCATCTATATTGTCCATAGAAATAATAAATTAATTTTCAGTCTCTTTCTCTTTGCGCTTTCACACAGATTTCCATGATTTTCAGAAGGAAAAAAAATCTTCTGATCATCAAACACTAAAAATTACTATACCAACTGTAAATTGCAGTCTGTGCGAAAGGCTGTCGGTCCTCGGACCTCGCCAACTAAAAATCAGTAGAGCCGAGATCAATTTCGATACAGTCAGTTGTCATGTCCAAATAAAATTACAGCCAGTTTGAAACTATTTTTTGGCCTTCTAAAATATGCAAAGCTTCCAAGATAAATCTATTTTTTTTTATTTTTGCTTGTATTCACAGACCAAGATAACCAAAATCACCGAAGGATACGACCAGTTTTTGCTAAGTAATGTAAGCCACCATCTTGTCTTCCTTACCAAAACATATTTTTTCTCCAATCTTCAAAATTAAACCTTTGAAAGATGTATTGTTTTCTTGTGAATTATGCTAATGTTTTATTAATTATGTTTCTGTATATTTTTTTTCATAGTATCTTATAGTTGAGTCTGATAATTCATATATGCTAAATATTTTTCTTTATAATTATGGCAATATCCCTCCCCCACCCCTACAAAAAAATACCTTTCAGAGTCCGGGCTGGTAAAAAATCATCAGGGCCGGAAATAAATCTTAGGATCCCAGTCCTTGCAGCTGGAATTTTTTTTTGACTTTCGCATTGACTGAAATTGTATATGATATTCAATAAAATATTCTTTTAGAAAAACAAGTTTGCATATTATTGTTTTAGGCAACTAATTTTTAAAATGCTGTACGGCTAGCCTAAACAGTGAGTATATGCTAGTCGTATGTGACAGCACTTTTTTCAAACAATGCTGGTTCATACTGCTAGCCACTGCCATGATTAATTATTCCTTCCTCTACCAATTCATATACTTCCATCAACAAAATTTTTGAAAAAATATTATTATAATTATCATATAGATGTTAAACAATAAAAGTAATGATGACTTAATATGATGTATTTAAAATTCCGCTGCTAAAGACAAGTTGTTTTTATTGATTTTTTATATCAACAAAGGTAATGAGGTAAGTTTCATCAGTGTATGATGACTTTTAAATTTTTGTTTAAAGTGAAAATTGATAGTCATCAAATTGTTCTAAATATTACCATACTGTTATACAGAGTTCCAGATAATTTTTTGACATTGGTGGTAATTACTTACCCCACTTTCCAGAATGTGGGGGTAAATTTAAAAAGATCAAAAATCTACAGAGTAAAATTAAAGGACTTACTCTGTTTAATGCACCATACTTTATTACATTAAAATTAACACACCATTCTCTAACTAAGTTTATTACATAAATCTTTTTCTTTATATACATTTAAAACAAAAATAAATTCTAAGTCACTAAGTCTGGTCCAATTAATCTCTACAAGACTAAAATAGCATTACAGATTTAAAGGTATTTCATTTTTTATTAAGTAGCGAACAGAATAAAAGATGACTGTACCACACTTTTGTTAAAAATAATTTGATTCTTGGAAAATATCTTAGGTAATTAAGGGGGAAATATCAAAATAAACATCTTTTATTTATTTCCCTGAAAGATCATGTGAAATTTAGCAGATATTCAGCATGAATTTCATTTCAGTTGAAAGGCCTTTCATGTGCATATTTATATTGTTTACACTTAATAATCTTCGACAATGACATAACCAATGCATATTTCTAAATAAAAAATAAAATGTTCATGTTTTTTTGTTTGTTTTTTTCTCACATATTATTCATCAAATACGGAAAATGAAATTAAAAGGAAATTATTTTTTGAAATTATTGACGTTGTATGTTTACTAAATCAACTTTACATTTATTCCGACATTATTCATTACAGGATGGCACAGAAGGATCAACACACGAGCAGGACGTGCGGACTTGGGATTGTACATGTTACTTCCATTATATATAAAAAGTGATGAATAAAGAATCAAAAATATTGTTGAATAATACATAAAAGCCATGGTGTAAACTCTGTAATACTATGCATGCTTATAAAGAGATGAATAAAGAATTTAAAAAATATGCGTTGCTTATTACTACAAAATAATGGTATAAATTTTATTCCAATAACAACATTGTTCCTTCTTTTACCATTTGTGAATATAGGTCGACATTAGTAAAAATATATTTTACAGGTTTCACTTAATGTGTATATATTTGTGTAAATTTTATAAATTATTCTTTTTTTTTCAGGTTTTACTTTCGTATATACGTATATACATTTAAATCATAGTTTTATATCTATTGAGTGGTGAATAAAGAATTAAAACAGATTGTTGTTTATTACATAGAAATCATGATGTATTATTTTGAATAATGTGCATACCTCATTTGTTTATATAGAGAAAAATAAAGTATTTAAAAAATATGTGTTTTTTATAATAATTACGTACGTGGATTTTTTTATGTATTCATGCATTTTAATTCTTTCTCTTTCAAGCTTTATTTTTTGTTTTAGTATATATGTCGATTTTATTCCGATTAAAAGCATTATTTTTCAGCTTTAACTATTTGTATGTATAGTTTGTCATAGATTATAAAAATAAACTTGTGTGAAATGTAATTTGTGTTGACTCTTTAGTTTTTTTTTCAGGTTGTACTTTTAAACGTATATATATTTCTATGATGTTGTTTGTTCACTGAGATCTTGTGTTATTATTTTATGTAAATATCATTATTATTCTAAAGAAAAGAATAAATAATATGTTTAAATTTTCAATATCTTGTCTTTTGATGTGCCCATTATACAATAGCTATTGTTCACTATATAAATTAAGTTAGCCGAAACCACTACCTGTTTTACTATATAAGATCAGTTAGACGAACCGGTAGTTCGACGAAACCACTCCCATCCGTTTCGAAAATGAAAGTACACACCAAAAACGCTTCAAATTTACATTCTTTGCGTAATTAATTTACAGAGTGCGTAAATGAACGCAACAAATTGGTAACCTTGTGCGTTTTTAGTTTTGAATTTTAATACAACTACTTTTTTCATATAAATGTCTATAAATTTACAGATAAAAAATCTATAAAATTATGGACTTACCATAAATATCATGAAATCCTACATCTGATGAAGGCAAAACTGGAAATCAGATCTACATTATTAATTATGTATATCTGAACTTTAGTCATATTGTATTTAACAATTATAATTATTACCAGTCCTTTAAAATTTTGGGACCTCTCATAGGATAGGATTTTATTCATTACAGGACTGGGACAGTACCTCCAGTCGCTTGCAAAAATCATGATCACAAAATTGAAAACTATCATTTTTCACCAATTATTACATTTTACCTGTATACCATGACAAGTTTTGGGCCTATTTTGTTTAGCTTAGATAGCTAATACAGTAATAGAGATGTGTTCAAAAGGTACTCAAAAATGTAATAATAATTCAAGAAAATATCTTTCCATGTTTCTGAATAAGTCCAGATATTAATTATGTGGTTTCAACAATAAAGAGTGATAAAACAAACCAATATGTTAATAAATTGAAAAGTGGACCGAGTTGAAATAAGGCCGAGCTGACTCGGGGCCGAGTACGTTTTACTTTTAGGGCAGAGCTGACACTGAATCGACGTAATGCACTACAAGGTTAGCTTTTAAAAAAGCTAGTAGCGACTCGCTTCGTAATTTTTTTCAAGGGGTGTGTTTAAATGTAAAAATGACAGTTCTGTTAGCTGAAGAGACTTCAGCGAACATCAAAATAAAAGTGCAGTCAACACTGGCCCGGTGCCCGATGGCCAGTGTAAATAAGTTTAGGCCAGTGTAAATTTAAGAAAATTTTGTTAATTATTTAGTAGAATAAATTCAAAACTGGAATTCGGGCCGGTAAATTCAAAATCTTAAACTCATTGACTGAAAGTGACATATAAAGTTCTCTCAGTTTAACCAAGATGAGTATGAGTATATATGAAGATGCATGTAAACAGATAGAATGAAGTCCCTATGTCTATGCACATTTACCATATGGCCTGTTGACCTTGACCACAAAATGTTAGATAGGTAGATTTCATAAAGATGTCTCTTTATACAAAATTAAGTTGTAATATGTTATTTAGTATTGGAATGAGAGGCACAAGTCCTAAAGTAAACACAAGTTGTCAATCAATTCAGCCAGAAAAGCCGGGATCCTATTAAAAAATATAGGGATCCCGGAAATTGACCAGTCTAAGAAAATGTTTTTCAGATAAGCCGGGATCCTATTAAAACGTATAGGGATCCCGGGAATTGACCAGTTCAAGAATATAGTTTTCAGAAAAGCCGGGATCGTATTAAAATGTAAATAGATCTCACGGATTGGCCAGTTCAAGTATATAGTTTTCAGAAAAGCTGGGATCGTATTAAAACATATAGGGATCCCGGGATTTGACCAATTCAAGAATATAGTCTTTGATTTTTCCAATTAATTAGGCATATAATTATAAGTATTGTGATTTCCGCATTTTAAGTTTGTTAATAAATAGCTCTAAATATATCTATATTCTAAGTTAAATTAATTTAACGTTCATTATATACAATAAAAAAAATTAACGTTTAATGGCCTTTCATTACGACAACAATCAACACAAATATAGTTCATTAGGTTTTTCCTCAATATCTTATACGATCCCGGATCCCGGGCGTCCCGGATCCCGGCCAGTAAATACATACACTGAATACCGGAAAGGATAAAATGACCGGAAAAAAGGAAAAATAAAAAATGCACAGAACCAGATGTACACTTATGTTAATTAACCAAACGAAAACTTACTACAGAGAAAACAGGTGAAATCGCTAAATCAAAAGTCAGTGTGAATATGATTTATTGAAAAGAATTCATAAAGACAAACATTTTCATCATCATTATATCTTTGCGCTCAAAACAATACTTGCTGATTTTTAAAAATGGCGTGAAAATTGAAGGTTTTTTGACGCTATGTAAGATTAAATTTGATTGGCTAAATAATTTTGGATCCTAGCCCTGATAGATAAATTTTGTAGAAAGCTGGAAGCCAAGCTTCGGTTAAACTTTTGGATGGCTTCGGAGTTTTAGGTTGTTTCTCAGTAAAATCCTAACGTAATACCGGCTCGCCGTGGCGAGCCGGCAAAATATGCAGTCTATCAAGCGAAATATATCAATAGCTTTACCAGATTGTGAAGAAAACTTGATTATACATACGGAATAGATTGCAACCAAAATAGCAACGTAATAGCTGGGACTTCAATCTTCTCTCGGAATAACTGGCTAAGATGGCGATTTCGGGAAAATGACGCCAGAGGGAAAATAGTTCGTATTCATACGCATACAAGTTTTTACTCTGACATTCACACTTTTTAACCATTTTCAGCTTGAAAGTTCTCTAATATGAAAATCGTATTCCATTTTTCCTGAATTATTGTGTTCTATGATAGTTAGTTAATTTTTGACTTGATAAAATTGGTACTAAATTTATGCAGGTACTTTGGCTCTCATGCATCGGGAACCAGAAGGTAGAACAAATAAACTGGTTCTCATTAAATTTTTATCGACTGCTAGCGTAGTAATAATCAAATCGCGTAAAGCAATGGTTTATTTAATTTTGTGATAAAAGGATTTAAAATTTAGTTATAAAATGACCAGTCAATTTTAAAATAGATAAGGTATTATGATTATCTGAATATCATGGCAAAATATTGGAACTATTTTTGCTCAGCGCAGCTAGATAGCCTACATGCGTTCAAAAGGTAGTAAGCTGAATTTATCGTAATTACATTGGGGGCTTGCGCCCTCAAAAACGATATTACACTAGTGTAATAACACTTTGACGTGACGTCATTTGCGCTATATAGAAACATAGCGTTAAAGCGCGCTAATG